CTTGATGAGTAGCATTTCAGAGTTTGGCAAGTGTTCATGTAAGTGCGCATGTGTGTTGACATGTCTGTCTATGATGAAGTGTCATGGATTTTCTCGCCTGACAAGTGATGAGAACACCATGCTGCCTTCCTTCTGACACAGCAGACAAGAAGTACGATGGAAAAATCTTCTCTGACTTTGACAAAATAACAAACACCAGTCTTAAAATGCACTAGACCTGCATTTACCATGTGAATCTGGAAACTGTGAACATTTGTGCGGTGACCAATCAGATAGTAGATCAAACCACAAGCCACAAAGCTAACTGTCACTACAGCTTGCAGATTACTATTTAACTTGTATCTGTTTGACTTGCCCTTACAACACATGCAATAACAATAGAGTTCACAGTATATTTAGATTTGCACTGTAAGTGCAGCATGTAAATACCTATACTAATGGACTTCCTGTTGATTTGATTGTCAGGCTGATTGCCATGGCCTATGGTCAAATTGGCATGATTCAGGTAAGCAAATAGTTGTTTTCCCTCGAGTGAGATTGGAGTATTATTTGCTGTTTGCAAAGTTCCATTTTGATATTTCAAGGTGGAATTGTCAGTGTTGGAATCACTAGTTCATCTAGTGTAATTGTCTGGTTTAAGGTACATGTAGTTCTTGCAAGAACTGTTGTCAGTGACTGACCTCGTCAACCTGAGCAGAAGTCATGTTCAGAGTCAAGAAGAAACTGTAAAAACTGTTTGTCATCATCTGACCAATCCCTGCAGATAAACTTTAAACAACTTTACATCCAATATCATCAAGGTTCAACCAACCGGGCTTCTAGCACCATTGAGAACAGTTTTCACCCAGCTCTGAAGTTTCCATCCACTCAGGTTGTTGAAACGTCAGCTACCAACAAGAATTCTTTTCAGAAGCACCCTTACCCAATTGAATGATCACAAATGTTTGGAAAGTTGATCATAACATGTGTGTAATGGTGTTTGTTTGTGTCGGTCAAAATCAGTCAGTCAATGTCAATGCTAAATGAAATAGGAACTCATTTTTTAAAATCACAATTTTGTACATGTATGCTGTAAGTGGTGCTTATCCCATGTTCATTATTTCCTGTTGGTTTTCAGGCCACAGCTGGCTTCTTTGTGTACTTTGTAATCATGGCAGAGAATGGATTTATTCCCAGAATGCTGTTTGGCCTGAGAAAACCATGGGATAACAAGTCAATTAATGATTTACAAGATTACTATGGACAGGAATGGGTAAGTCTAAGTCAGTGTTATAGTGGAAAATAGGGAGCCTTAAAGAGCCCTGGTCAGTCCCACTTTTGTTTTTTTTTTTACGTGCGAGAGTTTGGCTGTTATATTTTATTTGGAGCATGTCGAAAGGAAGAGGGAGGAGAAATACTCCTAGCTGCCTCATGCTATAGAAACCGGGATAAGCTCCTGCAGCTATGGGCCAGTCGGCTCCAAGGCTTCACTCACTCTTCCATGTCGAAACGAAGGAAATCACTGTGAAACAACTGAAGATAATTAACCACACTCTCAGGAACACAGCTTATAGTAAAGCAATAGGATTTCGCTTCACCCTGCAATATCAATAATGTCGATAGCATCGCAAATGGCGGAGGCTGACTAGGGTACTTTAACAACGAGAACGCCTATTCAAAAAGGAATTTATATTACCTTCGTTTTTTTGCTAGTTCATTGATCCGTCCGTGTACCTATCGGTCTAAAAACTTGCTCAGGCTAAATATACAATGACAGCATTCAATTTCAATGGAAATACGTAAGATTAGCTGTCGTGGTTCATGTTTTCTAGACTTCAAAATACGAAGAACTTGGTCGCTTATTTACTGTTTACTTATGCTGTTGTTTGCAGAGAACGGCTAAGAAATGAACAAAGATTTATAACGCACGTGCATATCCATTGTGCTGCTAATTAAACCTTTTGTTTGGTGACACTCTCGCGTTGCCTTTGCCGTCGTTGTTTGATAAAGCGCCTCAATGACGTGTAGATGAAATGGTTTCTGACTGGTGACCTTGCCAATGTATAAATTTGTCCTTTCTTGCAGACTTTCAATCAACGTAAAATCCTGGAGTACACCTGCCACACTGCATTTTTCGTCAGTATTGTGATTGTGCAATGGGCTGATCTGATCATTTGTAAAACCAGGAGAAACTCGCTCTTCACACAAGGAATGAAGTATGTCATACTACTTGCTATCTCCTGTGTTTGCTTGTTCTAGCTTTCAAGTTATAAAATGTTGTCATTTGACCACTTTTCTTGTGACATCCAGAAATTGTTTCTCGTTTGTACCAAGCTCATAGTTCATTTTCTCTCAACTGGTATCCACACTTTTTTTTAGCTTGTTTTGAGAATTTGGTGACACAACACAAGGCAGTGGTATCTTTCTTCCAGTTGATGTTTTAATATATTTTCATCACTTGCCGGCTTTTCAGTGTGTGGATATAAAGGGGAGAAATTGGATTTTGAACCATGTTCCTAAAAAGCGTGCTTTCTTTGTTTTTCTCAACGTTTTTTTACAAGGATTTGTTGCCGTTTTTTGTTACTCTTCAGCACCAACCTTTTTTTAAAGATATTTATCGTTATGACCTGCATGTATTCTAGCTGCTGCTTGCGACAGTGATGCAGTACTCGACTCATGTGTTTAATGTATTGTTAGCCTGCCGGCAGCCGGTCTTCCCTCTTGGCTCAGACGAGTGTTTCTTCGTGAACACGAACGTAAAAGAGCGTTGTGGACGCAAAGGGGCTGGGGCGAGTGCAGGGGCCCATGTCTCGTCCCAATTCCCTCTCGTCTGAAACGTCTCGTCTCATAATCCTTACCCGATTTCGAGAGAGCAGCCGACTTCCGGTAGTCTATTGTATCGTAGAAAACTGCCCTCTACGTCTGGGTTATTATCACACTCACCGTGCTCTCCTCACGTTATTTCCAGCAATTGGTTCTTGAACTTCGGTCTTGTGTTTGAGACCGCATTAGCTGCGTTGCTGAGTTACACCCCGGGCATGTCCAACGGACTTCGCATGTATCCTTTAGCGTAAGTATCACCTTGGTCATTTTCTTGTTGAAATCTCAAAAAGTGCGCTTTGAAACCTCCTTCCCACAACAGGATAAAACTACAATGCTGACTCCAGTAAAGGAAGGTAGTGGTTGTGGAGGGAGGGTGCTTTAATTTGAGAAAAGTTTAAAGTGAGAAGTTAGTGTCACCACTTTTCAGAATTGGGATCGTTCATTCGAGTCATGTTGTGAGTTCACAACGGGATGGGGTCTGCTCGTGAAAGTAAACTAGATTTACACCGTCTTTTAGCGTGTCCTTTTCTAAAGTCTTGAATTTGTTTCCCGTTTCAGTTGGCAGTGGTGGTTCCCAGCCATGCCCTTTAGTTTGGTTATTTGGATCTATGATGAGATTCGCCGCTATATTCTGCGTAGATATCCAGGATGTAAGTATCGTGAAATCAAACAGTCCTTGTATACGTTTACTAAAAGATGTTCGAGAATTAAGTAAATGAGGTCACGGCAGCCACATTGATGTCCACAAACCAATCCCGTGGGAGTTGAACTCTCTTCTTATGGAAACACTTTCTTCTCTTCCAATGTATTTTGCTTGGCTGCTTGCCACGGGAGTGAAACCGCTCTACACCTTTACTTAAATATGTCAAGTTCGTGAAGTAATCTATCAAACACGAAAGACTGTGTTTGACTACATTTCTAAACACCGATAAGAGGGTTGAAAAAACGACGCGCAACGGAGTATTTTTGACGAACTTCGAGGTCTTTGGAAACCAAACACCGTCACGCCCATGATTTCCTTTGTTTTAAATTCATTAATTATTTATGAGTTTAAGAATTAGTAACAATGGCAACTTCATCAACAATCGTAATCGTTTAACGAGACTTTTCCTCTAAATTTTTCAGTACTTGTATATGAAATAGTAAAACAGTAAAACAAAGTGCGTACACTTTCTTTTGATTGTGAATTGAAAACCCATTCCTTTCCTTATTTTTTCAGGCTGGCTGGACAAAGAGACCTATTACTAAACCACAATTTTTAGCAGACTTCAATGGCACCAGAAGATTCAGGCTTCTGCGCGTGTTACCTTTAAGGCCACGAAGTCCTCGCTGTTATTTGTATCACTAATTATTATATAGGTTTACTTTTTCTCAGTGAAAATTCAAAATGGGTAAATCCATTTTATTTAGCCAGGAAAAAAATCAGTAGTTCTGTTAGTAAAGCGTATTTAATAACTAGGTATTTTAACAATCACTGTGCAAACTAAAAGTTGTAAAAGGTTGAATCCAAAATTTTGATGATTCGGGGTTTGTTAGAGGTTTCTATCTATAATAACGAATTCCTGAAACTGTATGACTGAATATTAATGAATTGTGGTGTGATACCAGTTTAATATTGCTTTTTTTTTTGTTTGTGTTTTTAACACTCGTGAACATGGAAGAAAAAAAATACATTTGTATTCCGATTTAGCACAATGCAAATACTTTTCGAAGTGCACAGTTTGATTTCTTGTGTAGTAATTTTGTAACAATATAAAGCGTGTTTCGTCGTAATTGTATATTTGAAGAATTGATCTGCAGGGCGTAGTCGGATTTTAGAAGAACAAATACTACAGATAAAGTTTCTGTTCGATAGACGGATTCGGCTAACATTTTTACGTCATTGTTGCCGCTCAATTCAGACCACGTTATGATTCATTTGGAAGGTTACAATTGTTCAATTTGTCACACGCAAGTGTAGCATGTAGAAACAGAACAATAATTGTAATCTCCCAAATGAATTATCACATCACTTCAACTGGGTGGCAACACGCTAGCCGAATCCGTCTTTTGATACGTTTTTCATTGTGGCTTTAGCTTAGCATCCTGTGTAGTCTTTTTTAGATGGTAAACAAAGCAGTTCAAGTACCTTTGGAATCATTATTTCACATATTCCTAGATAAGCAGAAGTGTAATTTAATTTTCTTCTCAATTACGAAAGTGACTTAAATGTCAGTGAAAATTTGAAATAATTTTGCCAAATTCTTGGAATATATTTTCCCGTAACGCAATTTAGGGTTTAGAAAGCGTGTAAGCATGATGTATAGAAACACTTAGCTATTGAAACACTTAGCATGTGTTATCAACACACTTTTGGTGTTGTTGTAATAAATGGTAGTGTCGTCATCATCATCGTCATCATCATCATCATCATCATCATCATCATCATCATCATCAAAAGCAATAACAACAATAATAACGATAATAAACAGCAAGAGCAACCTCAGCAGTAACAACAATAGAAGCATTACAGAAGCAGCAGCAGCAACAGCAGCAGAGACACAAGACAAACAGCAGCACCATCCACATAAGCAGCAGAAGCAATAAACAGCAACAACAACAGAAGCAACAACAACAACAACAACAATAACAACAACAACAACAACAACAGCAACAACAACAGCAGGAGCAACCAAAAACAACATTGCCAGCAGTAGCAACAACTAATAATAAAAACAACAAACGACAGCAGCAGCAACAGTTGAAACAAGGATAGTAGTGGTAACAACAACAACAGCAACAACTACCATGGTTAAAACATTGTTTGCTTTCCACTTTCAATAGTTTTACATAGGTCATGGATGTATTGCATATAATTCTGCCGGAATTCTTAGCAATAAAGAATCTTGTAAGCCATTTCACTTTACGGTGATGCTACAGTTGAAATTAGAACAATTGAATAATGATTACTGAATATAAAGGTTTTAGTACCTGATTTAAATGTGAAAAGGTCAGCCAGTTTCGGATTGATATTCCCATATCATCACAGCACTGAGAACAACGGTTAAAAACGCTAATTTTTCGCGGTGGCTAGAAATAAATTTTTAATTCAGTGTATTTTAACGCCCAGACGGGGTTCACATGGTTATCGATAAGTTGTCGAATAGGAAAATAGCTCTCATTGCCTTGATGAGAAATTTCGGGAAGTTTTGGGAAAATAGCATGCTTACGGATTGATTTAGGTTTATGGTTAGAAATTAACGGATTGTAGAGGTTAGGAACCTTTGTGATCGGCATCAAAGGTAATCGAATTTTAGTGGAGTTCTGTGTGAACCCTGTGAAACCAACTTTGTTGGTATCCGCGCTTAGCTTTCCATTTGCCATCTGAGTAGCACAGATTTTTCAAAACCCTTCGTAACGTTAACACTTTAGGCAATCTTTTGAGGATGAAACGTAAGCTTAGTTCATTGAACTGTTCAGAAGGTGGATTTCTACTTTCGAAACGTTTTGTCATTAAAGGCAATTTCATATCTGCGATGTTGACTGAACTGAACCTTTTACCTCCTAGTTGATAATGGCCAAAACCTTTTTCTCACCAGACAGTTACTGAAAGTGGCAATCCCTCGGAATTTTACGACAGAGCCTTCCAGAGTTAGCAAGAGACCCCTCCGAAATCAATGCTCTTAATTAGCCCCATGAAAGCAACGATCTTTGCATACTCCCTGGGCAAACTTTCCCTCGCCCCAACCATCCATAGTAAACGAATCCAAGATAGCAGTCTAATACGAAAAAGTGCGCTCGCAAGCCCAAAATACGTCTGCACCGCAGGCTATCGCCCAGTAGTTTTGGGAAAGCTATATTACGGGCGACTTGCAAGCGCAAGGTAAATTGCGTAGAAACTAATGAAAGAAATCGACAAAGCAACTAAAACAGAGCTGACGCTTTGAATATTCATGAAGGGAAGTTGGTCATTGCTTTCGCAATCATCCGCCAGATCCGTCGCGTCTTTCAATTTTCTGGCGGGAGTCGTCTGGAGACCAGTCTGCATGGAGGTCTTCCAACGACTACAGGCACTGGTTTTTTTTCTGTATATTGTTCGGCCTTACCGTTCATTCGTCGAACCATGATCTCGGATTTACGTTGGCGCAGCAACAACTAGCCTTCTTTGCAGTGGTTATTTGGGTGGCTACGCAAGAGAGGATGGAGGATAAGAAAGAGAGTTAATCCCACATACAGGCCTTACTACCAAGGTAACACCTCAAGTTATTTTTAGACACTTCCTGTTTCAGAGATCCAAGTAGGGTCTAGAAATAGCCAATCCTATGAGGGAGATTTTGCTCACGTGAACAGCCCAGAGGTGTTAACATGCATAAATGTAAAAAGCATAAAACGAAAGGAACAAACCATTTTACAGTTGTCTGCTTAGTGACCTGGCCTTGTTTTGATACAGACCGCACTGCTTTTGTCATGTAAATGCACGTAGTTAGCATCAGAACAACTTGTTTTACACAACAAAACCAGTGAGGTCTGTATCAAAACAAGCTCTGGAGAGCCCCAGCCTCGCTGCCATCCAAAGGCCAGGTCACTAAGCAGACAACTGAAAAATGGTCTATTGTTCTTCCCGGTTGATGCGTGACACTTAAATGGATAAAGACATTCAAAAGAAAATAAATTGAAAACTGATAAAGGTAGACAAATCTAGTGACATATCACAAACGTTTCGGGTGGCATAGCCCTTCTCCAGTGTGACACTGAAGAAGGGCTATGCCCGAAATGTTAATTTGTGATTTTTCACAAGATGACACTGAGATTTTTCTACCTTTTCAGTTTTCAATTTTTATCTTCTTTTGAATGTTTATATGGGTTAACATGCAGTTTCATTTTCCATTGAAAACATCCACGCCACGTGCTTGGCACGCATTCCCGAGGAAGAACTGGGTAAGTCTAAATATCACTAGAGGGATTGGGAATACGACCAGTATAGGGGATTAACTCTCTTACTCTTTATTCTCTCTTGGTGTACAGCATTTCGAAACATGAAATGACTGTTAAGTCGTAGAGCCTCCTATGAAGACATCCTTTGAGCTCGTCACAAATTCTGACGAGCCAAGACACGGTTGCCACAGATCTAACTTTTCAAAATTCCGACTTTTCCCTGATGAAAATCAAATTTCCCTGACCAAATAAATACGAAATGTCACATCTAGCAGTGGCTTCTGGCCTCAACTTACAGCCGTCCTTTCCGCCCGTTCATGAAGACTGATAACTTTTCAACAAATCTTCCTCTTCATCAAGGAAAAATATCATTGAGATCACAGTGACCCCAAAAGTTTTTCATCCAGCCCTCAACGGTATTTAATCAGCCGTGTTAAATTATTTCAATTTTCCCGACTTCTCTTCAAAATGTCAATTTTCCCTGACAAAGTAAAATTTCCTGACTTTTCCTTGACCTCGAAGAAGTTTTTTTTCCCTGACCATTTCCTGACATGTGGCAATCATTGTATTCTGATGTGCCAAGAGAGGTTACTTCAGTCAGTTCTTTCGGAAGGTCGTCTTTAATTTTTTTTTTTCGCTTCTTTCGGGAAGTCGATACTTTCTGGGATCGTTGCTTTCGAAACGCAACAGTTTTTAAGGAACACCGAGACATGATAAAAATGTTCAATCGTTTTTATTCTTGTATAAGCCCGTAATAACACTGTACAGAATGAGCGAATATCACAATTCTGGTACGATAATATGGAATATGGCCTAGCTTGTCAAAAATATCTTCCCTTCAAAAAACCATAAAACGGTCTTGATGATTTCGCAGAACAATGTTCCAGTTATATCATATTCAATATAATAGGAAGAATGAACGAATGGAGAAGGGCTTTTAAATTCTTTGATAAATGAAAAAAAGGCTTAAGCATATATTAAGAATACATCAGCGCAAAGTGCCTTTATAATATCGAAGACACGTGATTGTCACTCTAAAAGATAAGCCATCACAGCAAGGGGTGATTCATCAGTCCATTACACTCCAATCCACTCTCAGCGTGGTTTACATCAGTGCGTGATCATTCCAAAAAACCAATGCAGCAAAATTCCACTCGCGATAATGTTTGATCAATAGTATGTTTCTTGTTCCAGCCAACCTGAGGAAAAGAACACAACAAGAGTACGATTTTCATGAACCAGACTGTGTTCTTCTTATTACGATTAGCGCGGTTTTAAATTAAAAGTTTGACTTTCCTTTCAAAATGATTGGTGCCAATTATCAAGTGTACTGCCTACAAAACAATCAGGGCCAAGTTGTTTTCTTTCTAACCAATCAGGTGCAAGATAACAAGAACCAAGGGTTGCTGGCTTTCCCGCGCTTTTTTCGGCCGTGAAAGATTTCAGAGAGAAGACAATAAAAACTACTTACATCCTGGGTGTCTTCGGATGATGTATCTGCGGCACTCATCGTACACAAAGATCAACAAACTGAATGGAGCAGCTGGGAACCACCAGGCAGCACTGAGAAACAAACAAGCAGTTTACATTCGTTAGTAACCACTTGAGCACTTCATAACCAGACGAGGGTGACTTAGAGTTACAATACAACACCGTCAACGCGTGCATCGTAGAAAATGTACTTATAAACGTGTCGGTGTTATGTAATCTCGTTCTTTGAGTCTTCGTTTCTTACTGTTAAAACGAGCGACTCTCAAGAAATTCAGTTAAGGCTTGATTTTATCTGGTTTTAGAAATAATGAAAACGAGCGGAACTAAACCAGCAGCGACTCGACTGAGCAACATGTGTCTCAGCTGACACGCGCAATAAGCCCTTTGCACGATCCGGTCTCATGGTACAAAATCACACATGCTGGGACTTCCAAAACAAAGCAACTCGTACCAGTCCATTTGACCTGCCTTTGTTTTGGAAGTCCCACTGTGCAATTTGCGTCACAGCATGTGTGATTTTGTACCATGTGACCGGATCGTGCAGAGGGCCTATTCAACCGAAGTCCCATAGTTTCGGACTTCCAATCAGACCCTTCCAGGGTGGCTTGCTTCCAGGCCACCAGTCAGAGGGATTCTGGGTACGAGGTTAGATACACAGAACACAGCAAGGCCAGTATGTACTTACAGTAATGGGTNATGCTGGGACGCAAGTTGCACAGTGGGACTTCCAAAACAAAGCAACTCGTACCAGTCCATTTGACCTGCCATTGTTTTGGAAGTCCCACTGTGCAACTTGCGTCCCAGTATGTGTGATTTTGTACCATGTGACCGGATCGTGCGGAGGGCCTATTCAACCGAAGTGCGATAGTTTCGGACTTCCAAGCAGACCCTTCCAGGGTGGCTTGCTTCCAGGCCACCAGTCAGAGGGATTCTGGGTACGAGGTTAGATACACAGAACACAGCAAGGCCAGTATGTACTTACAGTAATGGGTACATCCGCAGACCAGTGGACAAACCAGGCGTGTAACAAAGCAGCGCCGCTAGTGCAGTTTCAAAAATCAAACCAAAGTTTAGGGCTTTGTTCCTGAAAGAAAAGATATGAAGACATCTTGTTTAGAAAACATACCAGCTTAACTTGGTAGAGGGATTGTTCAGTATTGTTCATTTGTTTCCCACCGAAAACGGTCGCAAAAGTGTTTCCTTGGAAATTTCAACCAAATAAAACCTTTCCAGTGGGTTTGATGTAGGGTGAAAAAGTTGATCAACACAACTCACTAGCAAGGGTGATCGCTAAAAGAACACGACTCAAGTCTATTTTCCATGCTGTTCTTGCTAGTTTCGAAATCGCAGTCTGTCAAATCCCTGTACGTTGTACAACAAAGCCTCGAAACTTACGTCATCTTTTGCTGCAAAATGGAGTTCTTGCGAGTCTTACAAATGATCAGATCTGCCCACTGCACAACAACGATACTGACAAAGAAGGCGGTGTGACAAGTGTATTCAAGAATTTTTCGTTGACTGTAGGTCTGCAAGGAAAGCAAACAGCTCAGATTATTATAATTCGTGACTCAACACAGTCATAATTGGTCAGTGGTGTTCCTGATTTGATTTCGTGATGTTCCCCTAAATTACTCGCAAAAGAGTTTGGACGATTTTAATTTCGGACAAAAAAAGTGCCTGAAAATAAAACCGTCCAAAATTTTTAAGCACGTGTCCGAAATTTTAAGCATCTGAAATTTTTACACTACGGTATAAAACTTTTCACGGATTTTGTTTCCATTTAATTCGTGTTTTACATGCGTATATTTTAGGTCCCACATTTGTACAAAATCAGATAAAAAGTGTCCGAAAATTAAACGTCCTATTTGTTTTTTTTTTTGCAAGTATCGTCCCAGTCTCAACCTGCCTTGTTTCGTTTTAGTTTTATTATTCTCTGTTTCTTTTCTACTTTCGTAGCCGAGTATTTTAATTTTAGGATTCAAAGACTTTTCGGTATATGACTCAGCCACTAAGCAAGATTACCATGATAATGTTTCTTTACACTAGCGAAGGCTTACGCATTTAAGGGGCTTGTAGGTCACAGCATTTTAGATAACACAGTCAATGTTTGCCAACTATGAGTTGTGAACTTCAACTTGTCTGAGCAGCAGTCTTCTGTTGACAACAACTTGGCCACATTAGACATCTCAAAGATTTAAAACGATGGTTTCCGAGCGTTAAAAATAACACTTCCATACAATGTGAGAAAAAGGCCGACAGATGTTGTCTGAGTTTGCCCTAATGCAATCTGTTTCAATCTTCTCAAATTTTGCCCATCTTTTTTTAATTCTATGTCCACTTAGTAAACGCTGAAGTTGCCTAAAACTGGGCGACCCAGTCCCTTTAGGTGTCAGACTTCATCGGTGATCCCATTTAATTACTAGTTTCAAACATGGTTGCTACGCAACTGCAACCGAAGTAAATCACGTGACTCACCCATTCTTGTCCATAGCTATCCAGTACACCATTATTAGCCTTGTCTTCCCATTCTTCTCGGATTCCAATCAGACGAGTTGGTAAGAAGCCATTCTCTGCCATAATCACAAAGTAGGTGAAGAAACCTCCCAAAGCCTGGTGAAAATACAAACAAAAATAAACAACAACAACAACAACAACAACAACAACAACAAAAGCAACAATAGTGCCCGAGAACAACTTTCTCTCTCTGCTAAGAAAACTATCCCAAAACAGTATTTATCTCATTAAGTATTCTGCATAACACAAAAAAGCTTATCCATTAATTGTTTAAAGAAGTTAAATACGCCGATGCAAAGAAGTTTGCGATGGAAACCCGGAGGACAAATATCCAAAATTATCTGAAGCTCACAACATAAAGATTGAAATGTATAATGCTAGGAGAAGAAAAAGGGCAGGACGTCTCACGTACACGAAAAATCATGGAGAGAGAGAGAGCTCCACGAAGCTCTAGGTTTCTTGACCTACCTGGATAAAACCAATTTGTCCATACGTCATAGCAATCAATCTGATGAAGGAGAGAATTTGTCAGTACGTAATTATACTGAACGTACTGGAACAAGCCTTCAGCTTGTTTTTGCTCAAAAAGAATTTTTGGTGGGCTTATGTCTGGATAAGGTTTGGATTAGATATTTTAGCATTTTAAGCACTTTTCATGAACTCGCAACCTAGATAATAAGCTTGTTTTTGCCTCTTTTTTTTTCTTAATGTTCAAAAAAATATGTTCAAAGGTTGCTGTTTTCAATGGTCAATGCGCTTGGCTGCAACTAGCTAGTTCACAAGCATGTCACCTAAACTGGAAGGAAGAAATACTTCAACTTAACACTATAGGATTAAAAATCTCAACTGGAGGGAGGCCGACCAGTTGGCTATTTACAAGCATGACCGAGGAGTTGAACTAGGGTCTACCAAGAAACAACCCCAGCTTAGTGGTCAGAGCGGGACTTGAACCCGCGACCTCCGGATAAGTGCAGCACCTTAATCACTCGGCCACACTGCCTCTTCAAAGGAAAACAAATGACAAAGGTTGCAACAACTTCAATAATATCATACTTTAAGTTACAGAAATCATGTTTTTTGGTTGTTTTTGAGAAAAGTACAAGAGACCTCTAATGAAAAACCAATAAACCAGTAGCGGAGTAGACAGAGCACGCAGCCAATCAAACGAAAACAATCAAGTCTTATCAGGAATGACAGAAGCTCAAAGGAAGTTGTCAGAGAATTACAAAGTAAGTCTTACGACCAATGTTACTGTTCACGTACCTTTCATTCACAAGTTTGTCATGTTGGGGGTCACGAGGTTTCCTCTTCATAATGTCACTCTCTGCCTTCTCATATGCCAAGGAGATGGCAGGAACCTTACAGCGCAGAAGAAAGGCAGTAAGAATGGTGCAAGTTAAAAAAAACACGTCTAACAGGAAGTGTCACTCTACCAGAGATCACTTGAGGACATGGAATAAGTATGAAACAAGTTTCACTCGTTAAACACTGTTTGGTCAAAGGGATACTTACATTCATTGAACTAGGCATTTTAAATTTACAGTGGAACCCCACTATTCCAAACTCAGGCAAATCCAAGGGGAATGGTTTTAAGTTGGAAGTAATGGGAAATTCAAAACAAGAAGCTATTTCTCAGAAGGAAATAGTGTTTCGTTTCCGGAAAGATATTCAAAGTCTGAGAAAGGCGGGGGTTTTGATATCTTGTGCATGAGAAGTCCCGGGGTGAGGGGGATTTGTGCTAATGCGCCGCTACGCCCTGCACTGATCCGCTTAGTTGCCAGAGCCCGGGTTTTTTCGTCCAGGCGAGGTGTAGTAATAAACCTACTGCAAAAGAGAAAGGGCTATTTAATTGAAGTTGACTGGACAGGTATCAGTTATTACAGCCAATGCACTTTGAAATGTGCTTACTTGTGATACTTCACTTTGACTCTGCCCTAGGGGAGGGAGGTACTCCCTTATATCGGCTATATAGGCATGTCCAGCCTCAAAGGGTATGAGGTTTTTTTTAAGACATTTATTTCAGAAATATAGTGTCGCACTTTTGGTCATTTTCGTCTCACACTGCTGCTTTTTTCATCATTATCGATAAGACCAGCCATTCACAATACCTTTAGCATCACTCTGCACTAGGGAACTAAGGCAGGTCTGAAACAAGGTAATAATTTAAGGGTCAGGGGCCCGTTTCTCGAAAGTCCCGGAAACTTTTCGGGCCCGTAAAGCCATTTTTAGTTCGTCTGTATCTAAAAACGGAGACGTGTATACGTCTGAAACTTCTTGTATGAAGGGAACCTCTCTTCATATTAAGAATATGCGAATAAAACAGCTCAGTAATCGTAAGGTTCGAAGAAAAAATCGCAGATTTTGGTCTTAAAAGGGCGAGTGCTTTGGGAGGCGGGCCTCACAGCCCCACCAGATTTTTCATGAATTCAAAGTATTGTGTATGAGGCTAAATAAAGCTACGAGGCAAAGGCATTTGACGCATGATTTTTCCATTTCTGTGTCAGGCAGCACTTGATTCGAATGGATGCAGCACTCTACGTTTTGTTGTCAGTGACGCAGTATATAGACCTATATAGGTCGTATTATGTGTGAAGATGACTCTAAAATGCCGCGGTACGTCAAAATAGAAATTTTATTTTTAAAGCTCGCTCTTAGAAGTAAAGCTACTCGAATTGAGGCGGAAAATTTTATAAATTCAACTAAATCTGGAAAATGATATTAAAACAACCTTGCGAGAAAGCCATATTGAACCTATTTTGCAGTATATACTAAGGTTAATTAAACGCTAGACTGAGCAGAGGCATGAACACTAGATCGAGGAGAGGTATGGACGCTAGATTGAAGTTTTGCTATGCAGTAAGAAAACGAGACTTACCATATCAGTTCCCAAGTCAATACAGAGAATGGTGATAATTCCAAGGGGTTGGGGAATACCGATAATGATGAACATCAAGAATGGCGTGATCTCGGGAATGTTACTGGTCAGTGTGTAGGCGATGGACTTCTTCAAGTTGTCGAAGATCAAACGACCTGAAGGCAAAAACAGATCATACTCATCAAACTCTTATAATACCGAAACTTATACTTAGTACTTTAGAACACCAATAACACTCTAAAATGTTTTGAGAAACAACATTATGTNTGACCTACCTGGATAAAACCAATTTGTCCATACGTCATAGCAATCAATCTGATGAAGGAGAGAATTTGTCAGTACGTAATTATACTGAACGTACTGGAACAAGCCTTCAGCTTGTTTTTGCTCAAAAAGAATTTTTGGTGGGCTTATGTCTGGATAAGGTTTGGATTAGATATTTTAGCATTTTAAGCACTTTTCATGAACTCGCAACCTAGATAATAAGCTTGTTTTTGCCTCTTTTTTTTTCTTAATGTTCAAAAAAATATGTTCAAAGGTTGCTGTTTTCAATGGTCAATGCGCTTGGCTGCAACTAGCTAGTTCACAAGCATGTCACCTAAACTGGAAGGAAGAAATACTTCAACTTAACACTATAGGATTAAAAATCTCAACTGGAGGGAGGCCGACCAGTTGGCTATTTACAAGCATGACCGAGGAGTTGAACTAGGGTCTACCAAGAAACAACCCCAGCTTAGTGGTCAGAGCGGGACTTGAACCCGCGACCTCCGGATAAGTGCAGCACCTTAATCACTCGGCCACACTGCCTCTTCAAAGGAAAACAAATGACAAAGGTTGCAACAACTTCAATAATATCATACTTTAAGTTACAGAAATCATGTTTTTTGGTTGTTTTTGAGAAAAGTACAAGAGACCTCTAATGAAAAACCAATAAACCAGTAGCGGAGTAGACAGAGCACGCAGCCAATCAAACGAAAACAATCAAGTCTTATCAGGAATGACAGAAGCTCAAAGGAAGTTGTCAGAGAATTACAAAGTAAGTCTTACGACCAATGTTACTGTTCACGTACCTTTCATTCACAAGTTTGTCATGTTGGGGGTCACGAGGTTTCCTCTTCATAATGTCACTCTCTGCCTTCTCATACGCCAAGGAGATGGCAGGAACCTTACAGTGGAGAAGAAAAGTAGTAAGAATGGTACAAGTTAATAAAGACACGTCTAACAGGAAGAGTCACTCTACCAGAGATCACTTGAGGACATGGGACAAGTATGAAACAAGTTTCACACGTAAAACACTGTTTGGTCAAAGGGATACTTACATGTATTGAACTAGGCACTTTAAATTTACAGTTGAGCCCCACTATTCCAAACTCTCAGGGAAAGCAGGAGTGTGAAATAACCGATAGTAAATAACTCACAGGCAAATACAAGGGGAATGAGAAATTTTCTTACTTTTAAAAGCTCGCTCTTAGAAGTAAAACTACTCGAATTGTGGCGGAAAATTTTACAAATTCGACTAAATCTGGAAAATGTAGGCGCCTGCGATATGAAGACAATCTTGCGAGAAAGCCATATTGAACCTATTTTGCAGTATATACTAAGGTTAATTAAACGCTAGACTGAGCAGAGGCATGGACACTAGATTGAGGAGAGGTATGGACGCTAGATTGAAGTTTTGCTATGCAGTAAGAAAACGAGACTTAATTACCATATCAGTTCCCAAGTCAATACAAAGAATGGTGATAATTCCAAGGGGTTGGGGAATACCGATAATGATGAACATCAAGAATGGCGTGATCTCGGGAATGTTACTGGTCAATGTGTAGGCGATGGACTTCTTCAAGTTGTCGAAGATCAAACGACCTGAAGGCAAAAACAGATCATACTCATCAAACTCTTATAATACCGAAACTTATACTTAGTACTTTAGAACACCAATAACACTCTAAAATGTTTTGAGAAACAACATTATGTTTTCAGAGACTCTGCTCTCGATCCAAAGGAACCTAGAACACAATGGTTTGTCAATGTCTTGCTCCAACCAGGTTTGTGTAGCTTTTCCCATTTTTTTTATTTTTATTTTTCTTTTCTTTTTTTTT